AAGGGGATGGGTTTTTGGCATCTGCAGTGGCATGGTTGGACCTGAAGGGTATTGTGCTGAGTGAAATATGTCAGACAGAGAAAGACAGATACAATGTCATTTCACTTATATGTGAAATCTAAAGAACAAAACAAACAACAGAAACATACTCATAGATACAAAGAACATTTTGAAGGTTGCAAGATGAGAGAGGGTTTGGAGTGGGTGAAAAAGGAATTCAGACGCACAAGTTGGTTGTTACAAAGTAGTAATGGGAATGTAGGATATAACACAAGGAATATAGTCAATAATATTGTAATAACTATGTATGGTGTTAAATGAGTACTAGATTTATCAGGGTGATAGATTGGGGAAGGGGACAGGCTGAAAAAGGGACGGCATTAAGAAGTATAAATTGGCAGTTACGAAATAATCATGGGGATATAAAATAAAACATATGGAATATAGTCAATAATATGGTAATGTATGTATACTACCAGGTGAATACTAGACTAGCTGGGGGATCACTTCTTAAATTATACAAATGTCTAACTACCATGCTGTACGCCTGAAATTAATATAAAATAATGCTGAATGTCAACTTTAAGTGAATACTTTAAAAAGGTGGGGGTAAAATAAGCGGAAATACGATGTTTAAATTTCCAGGTATAAACAAGTCATGGGGACGTAACATACAGTGTGGGGAATATAGTCAATAATATAGAGGCAGTACAGTTTCAGATGGTTGCTGGACTTACAGTGATAACTTCTTTAACTATATAAATGGTGGACAATTATGGTGTAAACCTGCAACTGATATAATGTTGTATATTAGCTCTGTTTTTGAATAAAAATCCTTTTTAAGAAAAAAGGAGTTATGATGTTTTTCTAAGCCTACTAGTGATGGGAAGCAGCCCGGCTGCAGAGTTTGTGTTCTGAACCTCTGTAGAATATTTGAAGAGGTAATAGTAGAAAGTTGTCCAGAAATATTCATGAAAGTAATTCTGAATCCAGAAACTCCACAAACACCAAACACAATATGAAAAAGAAAGCCACTAGACAAATCATGATGAAAGCGTACCACACCAGAGAGAAAGGAAAGCTCTTAGAAAGGAAAGACAGATCATTGCAACTGAATGGCAGGCTGACTAACGGCCAATCTCACAACAGTAACACCGGCACCAAAGACAGTGAATCTTCAATGTGCTGGAGGAAAGGACAAGTCCTCCTACAAAGCTGTGCCTGAAAAGAGCATCTTCAGAAAATGAAGGAGAGACTATGAAATTTTCAGACAAAGAAAAACTAGAGTGCTTTCACCACCCACAGACTGTCACAAAAGGACGCCTGAAGAATGTGTTTTGAGGAATAGAAGATATGACATGTGAACCTGGGAGGTGAGCAGGAACATTGTTGTTTATGGGAATACACTTAAACAAACACTGACTATTGAAAACAATAATAAGTTTAATTTCTTGGTGAAAAACAGAATCAAAATGAAGTCCTGGAGCACAGCAGTTTGGGAGGAAGGAAACAGGTTGAAGCTCTCTAAGGTCTTGGTGTGGTTCATCAGGAGGGCTGACTCCTGGGACAGCTGTGGGTTTGCCCATTGCACCAAACAGTGTCCAAGGCAGAGGAGGGCAGAGGGGCTGAGACACAACGTGCTGGTTAACGCTGAGTCCAGGTGCAGGGCTGTGGCTACTGGGAAGGAAGGGGCACTTTAGGTCTTCACATAAAAACAAGATCAGGGTTAGCTCAGCTCAGAAAGGGCACCTTTTCCTAATTTGCATAAAGGTGATAGAAGTGGACTCCTTTACAGGTTAAAAACACTTATTGTCTTAAGAGTTTACAAAAGTATGTTAAATACCTACAGTACTTGCCTCGGAAACATATAGAGTGTAAAACTTCCAGACAAGTTGAAGAGAAAAAAACATCCTCTGTAAAACCAGTGACATTCTGGGCAGAACACAACTTCCTACTCTATTTCCACTTTTGATGAAACCTCTTTAAAATGTAAAAGATATTATAGAAACATGTTTCTTGTAAGAGGCAGATTTTAATGCCTGCTGACTAAACCCTCAGGGTCGGGGCAGTGATTCCTGCCAGTGCAGGTCTGTGTGAAAAGCCTCATGGGAGCAGCTGCCCTTTTCGGGCAAAGGTTTGCTTGGGACAGCCAAGCTCATGGCAGTGCCACTCACCTCGTGCCCTCCCCAACACAGGGAATTAGGCCTTTGAATATTTGGAAATCTGAAGGTGACCATATCTCAGTGGAGTTTCAATTACCCTTTCTCATGTTTTGTGATGTTTAAGAAACATTGGTTATCTAGAAACCTACTTGGTTATTTTCATATTAGGTTGCTAGGGTTCTTCCTAAGTAATGTGTAAAATATGCATAAATATTTATTTATATATAATAAATGTATTATAATTTATATATAGATGTAAATGAGACTTTTGTCCAAAGGTGCATTATAAGCACTTTTTCAGTTTCTTGTTTGACTTTATTATGATTGGCTTTTTCATGGAGAAAATTTATCTTTAATTTTAATTTTTAAATCAATATTTTTATTATTGACTTTTGAGTATTACATCAAGGTTTGGTAGACCTCCCATAAACTTAAAAAATAACTCATTCCCCTTTTTTTTCTAATTCTATATGATTTTCTTATACATTTTTACAATCCATTCAAAATTTAACAAGGCTTAAGATCTGAGGTATGATCCCTGCTGTGTTTCACTCTAGCTGGCTTCCAAATTGCCCAACAACACTTACTAAATAGTCCGTCTCCACCCCTCCCATTAGAAATAGCCCCTTCATCAAAGACTGAATCCCACATGCACTGTGTTTGATCCCTGAGACTTCCTGCCTGCTGTTCTATGTTAGCAAAACACTGTTATATCCCCGAGGCGTCACGGTACCTTTTAACATCTATTAGGGCTGGCTAGTCCTCATGGCTTCCTATTATCTCCAGCATAAGTTGAGGATACATTTTATTATGTCTTCTAACTCCCCCCACCCCCCATTTGAGAAAGCTATTGTTTCCTGTAGAGGAATGTTGTACCCAGCCATGTTTCTGAGCTGTCATTCGCTATGCTGATTGTCAGCTGATTCTCTGGGTTTTCCAGGTGGATTATCACACCACCTGCCAATCTCTCCTAATCCCACCCTTTCGATCTTCCAGCCTCACCATCCACTGGAACCACACCTGTCACTATCGGCAATGACTCTATATTGCGTATTCCAAGGTCAATTCTTAGACCTCATCTCACTCAGTGCCTCAAAGAGGATTGAGACTATTGCTCACTCCCATCTGCTAGATTTGGTCTCTCAGTTCAGTCTCAGAATGCTGTGCTTTCCTCATTACCCCTCCTTCAGGAGCTCCTTCTTACTACTGAGTTAGCGGGGTCCTCTTTTCTTCCAGAGGTCTGGGGTGTAGAGGCCCTAATGCTGAGTCTTCAAACCCTTCTCCATCAACACTTACTCTCAGGGTGAGCACACACAGCTACTCTAGAATGCCCGAGCATAGTCCTGTGTGTTATTCATCACTGCATCTTCGCTGCCTGGAACAGTGGCTGGCACAGCATAGGCACACAAGAGTACTGCGTCAATGCAGAAATGACTGAAGGAGTTTTTTTACTATTTTAAATGCTCCATAGTTAAGCTTTTAAAGGAAATGACAAGTAACTGAACTTGGCTGTGGCATGGACACATGAAGTCATAGGAGCTAAGGCTGCAAATACTTGTTGTCCCTAGGTCATCTACAATAATCTAGCTAACAAATATCATTGAGTAGAGGGAGAAAGGAGACACATAGTATGTGTAGTGTGCGAAATTTCTTATCCTTTATAAGGAAACTTAATAAACTCTGTTATAGACATTGATAAATCAAAACTAGAAATATAGTTTGATTTGGAAAAACTATAATATAACTGGTAAAAGAGCTAAAAATGAAAGGTAAACGTCGGTTACTATTGGGGAAGGAGATAGAGAGACACTTTACATTTCACTCTATATACTTTGGTGTCCTCTGCAATAAAACGAATGTGCATGCCTTACTTCTGTGAGCAAATGTAGAAAGATCAGGTGAGCCAGGCCATGGAGGGCCCTGAACGCCAAGCACAGTATTCTTTAATTGTGGAATCTCACATTGCCTGGTGGGTGGGCTTCCTACACAGACTCACAGTTGGCATTGAAAGGCTCCAGGTCAGCCACTCCTCATAAGGAGGTGGCTGTCTGGGAAGGATGGGGAGAGGCTGTGATAAGTGGTTTGGAGTCCAGGCCAACGAGAAATGTCTCGTGAGGTACTTGTCTCACACATCTCCAGAATCTCATTTGCCAGGCCTCCTGTGCACAAAATCACAGGGGCTGTCCAGCATCTTGATAAGCCTCTCGTAGTCACCAGGTTTCACTCCTGCTCCTGCAAACACCTCCTATCCAGGGGGTAGAGAAGCATTCTCTGCTGTTTGTGTCTCCCAGGAGAGCGCTTCCTTTTCTACTCACCACCCCCAACAAGAAGATGGTGCTAAGGTAAGAGTTGGCTCACAGCTGTCTTCTCACAAAGGCAGTGTTGTTTTCTGGCTCTTAGTCCACAGGCAGGGAGCCATGGGCACCCATCAGTGACAGTCAGCAATATGAAGTGCTCTCATAAAATCGTTGGATGCTGGGAGCTTAAACCGTGGGAGATCCACACAAGGCCAACCAGGTTCTTTCTGCTTCTGTTGTATCTCCCTAGTTCTCCCTTTCTCTCCAAACATTGAAATCTGAAACTACAGAGAGAAATGTTTTGCTAATTTTAATTTAGGGAACAGGATGGCAAGCAAACATTGCTTTCCAAGGCTAAGTTGTTGTTAATAATCTCATTTTTCACAGATTAGCTTGCTGTTCAATGGGTTTGTTTGTTTGTTTGTTTGTTTGTTTATTGTATCCTTGTATCTGGCTTGTCCCAGTAGAAAACACAGAGCACAATCTATGTTCCCTGGACATACTCAGCGACAACTTCCATTCTCTCTCCATTTCCATCCACAGGTTTTTTATCACTGTGTTCACCGTTGCCTACTTCTCAGGCCTGAGCCTTCTCAGCGCCGTTAGCACCGAGCGCTGCCTGTCAGTCCTGTGGCCCATCTGGTACCACTGCCACCGCCCCACACACATGTCGGCTGTCCTGTGTGCCCTGCTCGGGGCCCTGTCCCTGCTGCTGAGCATCCTGAAAGGGAATTACTGTGGCCTCCTGTTTAGCAGTTTATATCAGGTCTGGTGCCAAGGATTTGATTTCATCACTGTTGGGTGGCTGATTTTCTTATCTGTGCTTCTTTCAGGGTCCATCCCTGTCCTGATCACCAGATTGCTGTGTGGCTCCCAGTGGGTGCAGCTCACCAGGCTGTATGTGACCGTCCTGCTCACAGTGCTGGTCTGCCTCCTCTGTGGCCTGCCCTGGGGATGCATCCACTGGTTCCTCATATACTGGATTAAGAGTGGTTTAGTTGCGTTCCTCTTTCCTCTTTACCTGGTTGCTCTTGTCCTGTCCTGTATCAACAGCTGTGCCAACCCCATCATTTACTTCTTCATTGGCTCTTTCAGGCAGCAATGGAGGAAGCGAAGGCAGACCCTGAAGCTGGTTCTCCAGAGGGCTCTGCGGGACTTTCCTGAGGGGGATGAACATGGAGGAAGTCTTCCTCAGGAAACCCTGGAGATGTCGGGAAGCAGTCTGGCCCCCTAATCCAGAGTCTTCTTTGTTCAGACACATGGGGTTTAGAGAACCAACTTTGTCTCTATCAATTTGGGATGCTTCTTAAATTTCTCAGCCCCTGGACCTCTGAATTAAAACAATAATATAATAATCCTGCTGATGAGGATTAAGTGAGACTGTGCCTGTTAAACACGCACTGGGTGCAGTGTCTCAGGGCTGCCTTACCCAGGACGTTCACACCACCCCCTTGGGAGCTTTGCCACCTCTGGGGTCCAGGACTGTTCCCAATTTTTTTCCTTTTAAAGATATTTATTGGGGAATTGGGGAGGGGAACAGTGCTGGGTTATTGGGAAAGGGGAACATTGTTTTTTCCCAGGACCCATCAACTCCAAGTCCAGTCGCCACTTTCAATCTAGTTGTGGGGGGGCGCATTCCACCATCCCATGCAGGAGTCGAACCAGCCACCTTGTTGCACACTGAGTCATTGGGCCTCCCCTTGGCAGCTCGCAGCTGTTCAGCTCAAGGTGCCATGTTCAATCTTAGTTCTAGGGGGAAAGGGGAACAGCACAGCCCACTATCCCATGCAGGAGTCAAACTGGCAACCTTGCTGCTAAGACCACACACTCTCACCAGCTCAGTAACATGTCAGCTCGGGCGCAGCTCACTGGCCCATGTGGGAATCGAACCGGCGACCCTGTTGCTCGTAGCCTGAGCCCTTCACCAACGGAGTGACTCAGCAGGCAGGGACTATTCTCACTTTTGAAGAATCCTACCTTTACCAGAGGCTAAAAGCAGCACAGGAAAAGTCCAAATCACTGCACTGGATAGAAACTAAAAGTACCTTACATTTTTGACAATATTTTTTGGTTTTTTTTCTATATTCTGCCTCAAATAAATTAAAAGGACAAAATTTATCTAGCCCCCAAGACCAAGCTTCTTTCGTTTTGTCAGGCCTTACAATGGTATTTTTGTAAATATTATTTTTGTAAATAGTATTTTGTAAATACTATTTTTGTACAATAAATTTTTGTAAAAAAAATTATTACAAAGAGTAATAAATATTTGTTGAATCAATGACTTAATAAATTAATAACTGATTAATTTTCAAAACATCGGTGTTCAATCACTATTTGCTAGATTTGAGACACCATCTTTAAGTTAATTGCCTTCACCAGTTTCACCCTTTGCAAGCATGAAGTTAGATTTTATAACCAAATATATCAATGTTAAAGCACAGTTAAAATTTCAGGTAGGTTGTCGTTCAGAGTTACCTTTCACGTGCCCTCCAGTAGAATCCCTCGTGCTCCCTCTCTTTTCAACCCTTTGCCTCTGCCCTGACTGTCCCTTTCTGGAGAATCTCCAGTCCTTCGTGTCAGGTTTCCAATGGGTCTTACTGGACTCTATGATCTCCAAGGACAGCTTCTATGTCAAATGTTTCTTTCATGCAAACACCTTTCAACATTTATTAATCTCATTACAGAAAAATATTTTTCAGTTACATCTTCTATAAACAAGTATAATAAGTTTAAACGTTGCCCTTTTAAACAGTTTTAATACAGGTATAATTAAGAAAGGACTTGCATAGGTCGTCACTTCAATAAGTTTGGACAGTGATACATTCATGTGACTCAAACCCTAATTAAGACATAGCACCTTTTCATCACCCCTGAAAGTTCTCTCATATCCCTCTCCCAGTCATTCTTCCTGCCGCTGAGGCAACTTTTGTTTCTACTTCACTCACCAAAGGTTGGTTTGCCTGACCTTTGACTTCATATATTTAGGACCATAAAATACATTTTTTTGTTCCTACTTTCTTTCACTCAGCATATTTTGGGATTTACCCATGTCATTGCATTGCATATATCAGTAGTTTGTCCCTGGTATAAAGCTGAGTACTATTTCATTGTATGGGTGCACCTTGGGTTTATTTTCATATTGATATGTATATAAGTAGCATTCCATATATAGGAGGCGATTGTGAATAAAGCTGCTGTGAACATTCTTATTCAAGTCTTTTTCTGGATGTATGTTTTCGTTTTCCTTGGATAAATGAGCTGAAGTGACATTGGTGGGTCATACGAAGAATTACGCTGAACTCCATGAGAATCTGCCAAACTCGCTTTCTATAGCAGTTGTCCTATTTTAAATTCGCAACCATCAAAGTATGCAACTTTCATTTGTTTCCCAGGCTCCCCAAAACAGTATTGCCATGAGGGTTTGAAAGACAAGTAGGGAGGATGTGCTTTATTCTTAGTTATACAGCCTCCCAGAGCAGGTTCACCTTGCTTGGCATTGCTGTTCAGGTTGAAACACAGTTTTCAGCAAAAGGATCCCAACAACAGCCACTTGCAGGGACAGGTACCAGATAAGGAAGGGATAGCCAGAGGTTGCGAGATAGGAGTAGAGTCAAAACAAATGTTGAGAAACATCTCATGAAGGGTCACGATTCGGAGAACGCTGCGCTGTCATTTATCAGCAGCTTCTTGTACAGGAAATGACAGGGGCTGTTCAGCTTCTTGATAAGCCTCACTCATAAACCAGGCCTCACCCCTGTTTCTGCCAGTACCTCTCAGGGCAGAGAAGTGTCTTCTAGCAACTATTGATTTCAGGAGGCTCTTCCCTTCGGCACGGATCATTTTATTACCCCCAGCAAGAAGAATGGAGGAAAGGTACGTTTATCATGTGTTCATGTTCAAAGCCACTGTTAGGG